TACTGCAGAGTTCAGTTCTACAGAGAAAATACTGCAGAGTTCAGTTCTACAGAGAAAATACTATGGTACTGCAGAGTTCAGTTCTACAGAGAAAATACTATGGTACTGCAGAGTTCAGTATTACAGAGAAAATACTATGGTACTGCAGAGTTCAGTATTACAGAGAAAATACTATGGTGCTGCAGAGTTCAGTACTACAGAGAAAATACTATGGTACTGCAGAGTTCAGTTCTACAGAGAAAATACTATGGTGCTGCAGAGTTCAGTATTACAGAGAAAATACTATGGTCCTGCAGAGTTCAGTACATGTCTGAAAGTAACTGTAAATATACTACACTATACTTTTAAAGGTATTGCTACAATACGCTGTTAAAATACTACACTGTAAAACAAACTAATTCAACTAACAAGCAAGTAAGCTGCAAAAGATTTCAGATCAAATTAAATAAAAATAGCCATTGATGGTTTGTAAAACTTTATTTAATCTGAGGTCCTTTACAGACAGTGTTTTTTCAGGTTTGTGAAACTTTATTACAGGTAACATGAACAAGTGAACATGTGAATGTGAACATGTGATGAATGAGTGTCTGTTAGAGAAGCTGCTGTTGTTATGTTCGCTGTGTGTTTCAGGCACTGGGAGGCGCTGTTCATGCCTCAGTGGATGCACCACCACATGATGACCACAGAGGCTAGCAGACCAATCAGAGAGCTTGCAGCAGAGGAGGGGGCGGAGTTACACAGGTCAGAGTTGCAGCACTTGAAGGTGAAACTGGAAACCTGTGAATTATATAATTTTATAAATCCATCAGTGAAGCAGTTTGTTTAATAGGATAGTGTACACAGGTTTGTACAGGTGTGTACACAAGTGTATGTAGGTGTGTGTACATACACACACCTCAGCACCATCTGTAGATGCTTCATTTCAGACCCTGAACAACAGTGATGAGGTCTTTTATTTTGAAGGTTGTTTCAGTTTCTACCTGAGTTCTTACCTGAGGAAACATCTGGGCCAAACGACTGTACTCACAGTCTGAATACTTCAGACACTGACGGTATGTCATCCCACCTGCAACACAAACAGTGACATCAACACAGCTCCACTGTCTATGGGACAGGTACAGGTGGAACAGGTGTATAGACGTTGTGACGTACCTCTCTCGTTAAGTGTCAGACAGGCATCATCATAGCTACAGTCTCGTTGTTTGGCACAGCTGGCTGTATAATCTTTACAGCTGTAACAACGAATGGCTGATCCTGTAACAAAAAACAAAGCTGTTAGCTTAGCTTAGCATACAAAGTGGGAACAAACAGCCTGGTTGTGTCCACAGGTTCTGTGTGTGTGTGTGTGTGTGTGTGTGTGTGTGTGTGTGTGTGTGTGTGTGTGTGCATGGACACTGATGACCCCAGTCCTCATATAACCTCACAACTCATTATGTTAAACCCCCTCACATACACACGTTATAATGAGGACGTCATCAGTTGATACCAAGCGTTCACATTGATAAATAAGTTAATCATCAATGATTCCCACATTATTATTATTATCATTATTATTATTGATTATTCGAATCAATCACATCAAATCAAACGTACCCAGTCCGATGAGAGCGGAGCAGATCAGCACACACATCCACAGGGAGCGCTTCATTTTCACCTCAGCACAGCAGAGAACCGAGTGGAGAACAGACAACAGTGAACACTGACCTCAACTCAGTTGACAGACAGCTGAGAGCTCAGAGGCCACGCCCAGTGGGAGGAGCTGCATTGTAGGTTAGAAACACATGTGAAAAACATTTTATAGACATATATTAGCCAAGTAACACGTTAGAAAGAAACATGAGAAAATAACACTTCGGTTTCCAAATTTACATTTTTTGTTGAATTTTAGACGCAAAACATGAAGACAGGCGCTGCTTTACTGAGAGTCTATTAAATCATGATCCTTTAGCGCCACCATCAGGTTATAATCTTAATGTGTGGTTGTAGTTTCTGATCAGTTAGAGGTTCCAGCTGTTAGCATGCTAACATAAGCATGTAGCTGACAGCAGCTATTAGCTAGATGCTAACATTAGATGACATGTCTGCAGAGCGTGGGTGTGTTGGCGTCCTTCCCGCTGCCTCGCTGCTGATGTGATGACCTGATTATGATGGAGATGGCGGCAGTGATGAAGACGCTCTGTGTCCTACCGTTTATCTCAGAGCAGAAGAAGAAAAGATCCATTGTTTGTTTCTCCAACACAAACAAACAAACAAACAAAGAGCTGCTGTGTGACAAAGAACAAAGACGAGGTCAGTGCAACAACAATGGACGCTCTCATCACTCTGTCACACCACTGTCTTCATCATCTTCATCATCAGGTGGCAGTATAATATAATTATAATAAAATAAAATGTAGGGAACCTTAATGTTCAGTATAAAGTTCAACTTCACAGATCGATGTGTCCATTTAGAAGAACAAGTGATTGTGAATCAGTTTCTCTGCTTTGGTGCAAATCAAAGTCACATCAGGTTCTATGAGACGAAATTAAGACAAGCCCCAAACAGGGAATGTTTTGCTGGTGTCCTCATTACTTCTGGTAGCATGAGGCACTACCTGCAGCCCAGGACAGACTCAGACTCATCAGTCGATGTCAGGAAGACATTGTACAATAAATCATATTTTATTAGCATTGCCTCAAATTCTCAGTTTGTCTCATCGATGTTAACAAGGAGCAACATCCTCTGTTCTTAACTCAACAAGAGTAAAACTCCCAATGTAACTTTATGAACGGTAAACAAAGCTCAGAGTCACATGTGAGGATCCGTCTCCAGGGCACAAGGACAATAGATGCTGATGGAACTGAACACATCAACATAATACCAGGATTTATTACATTAGAAGAAACAGTTTGTAACTTCATGGAAAGTAAATGATTTGAAGAGTTATTGTCAGTGATGGTAGAGTATGTACAAGAAGTCTTGTAATCATAGTTCAGGATCAGAGCTTCACAGCCTGTGATCTATATAGATATAGATATAGAAATATCAGCCTCTGGTTGTATAATCTGTTTAAAAATCTGATGAAAAGATGAAAACAGATGAAAAGACACCTGAAGAGCAGCTTCAGTGATGATGTCAGTGTACTGCTGGCTGCTGATTGGTCCATGGACAGCAGGTGAGAAGCACCTGATGATAAATGAAACCTTCATTAATGATTGATCAGCTTCAGTTTGTTTCTTCGTTTGGTTTTTAGTCTGAGACACGACCGACCAAGGTGAGTTCTGCTGTTGTACTGAATTCTATTGTTCTACTTTTGTTGTAGGTTGTAATTTTATACTGGGTTCTGTTGTTCGACTGAGTTCTACTCGGTTTAGTGTCAGAGTTCTTTTCGTTGATTATTGATCAGTGATCAGTTGAAGTTTTATTAATATTTACTATGTTATTTTGTTTATTGTTATGTTTTTCAGTGTAACCCGTCATGGATCTAGATGTCATCGGTAAATTATTCTCTTATCCTCTGGCAAGTCTTGTTAAAACAAGATATAGAGCTTTTATATCGGTGAACATCCTGTTTCCTTTGCAGAGGGGCTGAATGAGATTCGTCCATCAATTTATCGAGTCGCCATGAAGCTCATGTCTCTGCAGAGACTCTGTCACAGTAAGAATGCACACGTCCCACATCATCAATACCTAATTTTCCAGTTTTGTCAGAAATGAGATGTGGAGTTAAAGTGATAGTGAAAAAAAAGAAACTTCCCTCAATATATAGTCACCACTATGATGGGGGGGGGTTCAGGGTTAAAAAGAGTTAGAGCAGAAGTAACTGGAGACCGAAGCTTCAGACGTAATAAAACAACAGAAAAAACAAAAACCTGTGTCCACCTCGGAGGAAGATGTCAGAGACATTTAGGCCAAAAACTTAGCGTAAATGATGTTGTTTTGAGATGAATGTCGGGGCTTGATGACATCACAGGAGCAGATATGGAGGCATGTTGTGTTTTATTACGTCTGAAGAATCTGTCACTAGTTACTTCAGTTGTGTTGGATTCTGCTCTAACTCTATTTACCCCTGAAACTCCAGAAGTGTTTCAGACACTGCACTCCCCCCCTCCATCATAGTGCTGTGTAGATAATGAGTGAACAGTTAATAACACAGTGTGTGTGTTTCCAGTGCACGTCGTGTACGTGCGACACGTCATGGCAGCGTTCAGCTCGCTGGATGGGAAGGGACAACAGGAAGTGAGGCTGAGCAGACAGGAAGTGACCTGGGCTCTCAACAGGATGTTTGACAATGCATCACAGGAAGTGTCACAGGAAGTGTCAGGTCATGTTACAGAGGAGATGTGTAACGTGATGCTGCGTCTGTTTGACGTGTCTGAGGTCAGAGGTCAGAGGTCATGTTACCTTGTTTTTCTCCTCGCTCCAAACAGGAGGTGACTGTTTGTGTTCATGTTCCAGGCTCAGGCTGCATCGGTGTCCGCAGCTTCTCTTCAGGCGGCACTCTTTGCTTTGTCCGCTGACACTCTGCTCGCCAAGTACAGAGGTGATCTCATCAATACCATGATTATTGATTATCAGCCGGAAATCTGCCTGTCCTCTGCCGGACAGGTGTCTACTTCAGAATCAGAGCCTTATGTTTGTGTCTCCTTCAGAATAAGAGTCTTGTGTTAGTGTCTCCTTCAGAATAAGATTGTTTTTTGTTGCAGCTCTGGTGAGACTCTGTGAAAACCCATCAGGATCCGTCAGCAGATCTGGACTCAGGTCGTTACTCCACGACCTCCGTCAGGTAAAACTCTTCACACACTGTTTCCCAGCATGCCCCTCTCCTCTTGCTGTCTGACATGTGCATCATGTGACCAGGTTCCAGCCGCTGTGCAGGAGGAGGTGGTTTTTGGCGGTGTGGAGGCAGCAGTGAGGTCGTGTTTTAATGCGGTGAGAGCAAAGAGAGATGCGGCTGATTGGTGGTTGTCATGACAACACACTGACTCTGCATGTTTACAGGTGTTGACTCCGACAGCGAGCACAGAACATGTGATGTCATGGCTGCAGAACGAGCCCCACCTGTTGCTATGGTTACCCACCCTGTACCGGCTGTGTGTCAGTCAGGACGTCAGTCACATGGTCCGCTGCCACACCTGCAAGACGTTCCCCATCACCGGACTCAGGTGATCGAACATCAGCCAATTAGAGGAGAGATGAAAGCCTGTCCAATCAGAGCAGAGGGAGCAATGATGTCATGACGTGTGTGTGTGTGTGTGTGTGTGTGTGTGTGTGTGTTTTCAGGTATCGATGTTTGAAGTGTGTGAACGTCCACGTGTGTCAGAGCTGCTTCCTGAGCCAGAGACAGACACGCAAACACAAACCACCACATCCTGTCCTCGAGTTCTGCACACAGGTGAGACAGGTGCCGACAGACAGTCACAGAGAGACAGACACAAAGAAACAGATACAGACAGACAGAAGTACAGAGAGAGACAGGTGAAAGACTTATTGTGAAACTTTGTGTTTGAAAAGTGTTTTACTAATTCACTTTTTTTATTATGGTCTATATCAGCCGACCTGGCGGGAATCTCTGTCCTCGTTAGTGCACAAAGCTCGTCACACTCTGTTGCCACGTCGATACACTCAGAGAGAAGCTGATAGGGGGGTCCTGATGTGGGCGGAGCCAGGAGAGACTAAGAACAGGTGTGGAACTTTTATTTTGTTAAAACTTCTTCAGGTCGAGTTTTAATGTTTTTGAATTTGGTGTCTCAGAGCTGCACCCCCTTCCGACGCTTCATCATCATTGGATGGGTCAGCTGTCCATCACAGTTCCTGTTCGTCTAAAGCTCTGCAGACTGACGAGGTGACTTCTGATGACATTACTGTTGTTTACATGTGTGTTTGTTGTGTAATGTTTGTTTGTGTTGTTCTTCAGACTCTGACGACTGACGTCACAAACCTGCAGCGAGACAAGTGGTGAGAAAAACTAGCAACCAATCAGAGAAGAGCGTGGACATACAGGTCGTCATGTTTGTTTGTTGTCAGGCTGCTGGAGCAGGAGATGCAGGCGTGGAGACTCACCGTCCAATCAGAACACAGCCTCCTGGAGGACAGGTGCTCAGAGATGGAGGTTACCATGGAAACACTGAGGCAACAGAATGTCAGTCTGCAGGTTCTGCTCGCTCAGGTAAGTCACATGATCACAGGCAGGGGTGTGGAACAAGATTCTGGGCCCTATACACAAGCAGTCTGTGTGGGCCCCCTTCCTCTCTAGATTCATGATGTCCCTCATGCATATTTAAAATAATGTTTCTACAAATAACAAGTCAACTGTAAAAATGCCCCATCCTTAGTATCACCTGGAGACGCCGCTCTGCTCTCCTACATATCCAAGGTTCTCGTTCACGCAGTTTACAACAGAACACACAGTGAAAATGATCTTTTCACACCAGTTGAATGTTTATCTCTTAAATAAGTCACTAACCAAAATATTTCTGTAGCCTACCAATTTCAAAATAAAGGCATTGTTTCTGTTGACTGAATCCATTTATTTGTTCTTTAAATGTTTATATTGGAGTGGAAAATGCATGTGGTATAGTACTGTTATTTAATTGACTGCAGTTTTTATATTTTCTTCTTTCCTCCAGGCTTCGAACAAGATGGAGGCTGAACAACACGCTAGTGCTAATACAGACAACAAGGGGAGAGGGGACATCACCACTGACACAGAGATAAACTCAGAGGAGGAACAAGTGATGAATGAGTGGAGTGAAGACGAAAGTCAAACTCCATCTCCCACAATCCACCGGGGGGTGTCTCCAGCACATGAAGACCACTGTGAGGAGGGGTCTTTAAGTGACAGGCATCTCTGTCGTCCAGTAGAACAAGAGGAAGGAGACACCTGTCTGTCTGAAGAAGGGGAGGATTATGGGACATGTCGTCCTGAAGAGCAGCTCCACCAAACTGTAGACAGTCTGAAGACTAAGATGGAGACAGACAGGTGGAGAGACAGACAGACAGGTGAGTCACAGACAGACAGATGAGTATTTGTTTTTAACAAGATGATTTCAAATCTTTTCTTGTCCAGGAGAGAGGAACGGGGCGGAGCTTGTGGAGGCTGCAGAGCAGGTGGGAGGCTCAGTTCACCACCTGGTGGTCGCAGTGAGAACTAACAGAGTCCAACAGGTGAGTCGTGTGCGGGTAATAAAAACTTTTTATTCAACGTTCACAGGGTTTTTAAATAAAGGTAGAAAATCATCAAGTGACCTGTAGAACAGATAAAACATTATCTTCTTCTCGACCTACTACTACTATCTTCGCCCTCTCTCGTTGCCCCGCCCCCTTCGTCCTCTCCCTCGTCGAGGTGGGGAGCAGTGGGTCAGGGAGGCGGGGCTCAGACCTGTCCGTCGAAGGCCTTCTCTTCTAGTTGGAGGGGGTGTGGCCTGAGCCCTGGTTCTTCGCTTGGAGGGTGGTGGGTGTGTCCTCTCCCTTCTCAACCCTCTCCCATGCTCTGACCTATTGTGAGGTCGCGGGGGGGGTGTTTTAGATGTCTGACTCCGCCTCCTGACTGTATCCCCACTAAGTGTGCTCAGGAGAAACGGAGGTTCATCTGAAGTGTGACCTTTGACCCTTGAGGACCCTGCCGAGCCCTCCCCTGGCGTTCTGTCTGTGTTCAGGTCTGTACTCAGACTTCGAAACAGCTGACGGACGCAGGGTGGTGGGGGGGCCGAGGAGGCGGGGCCTTGGCGCCATGGGAAGCCTTTGGGGGGGTTCTTAAGGATGCGATTGGTGCTGGAGTCGTAGAACCTGACAGGAAGCCGTTTGTATTTGACCTTTACCCCCTGCAGGTCCAGCGGACGCCTCTTCTTCCTGCAACGTTTGGGGGCAGAGCCAAATGACGTTGTGCAGGTGGGGGCAGGGCCTGAGGGGGAACACAGCAGGTAGACCAGAGAAGTGCAAGGCTGCACAGGTGTGACGATGTTGGAGTATGACGCAGGGAGACAGCGCCACATCTGCACCTCAGGCGTCCTTTCTGCTGCATCCTGATTAGCTGCAGGGAAACTGGAGGGTGGGGTCTCAGCTGGTTGACGGACACCCGGGACCACCAATCTGACCGTTTGCGTGCCATGACTGACTTTAACCACCTGAAGAGACAAGAACAGGTGAGATGTTTGTCTTTCAGCTGAAACAGCGTGTCAGGTGTCCGACTTACCTGACACCTGGATGCCAACCTGAAGCTCCGCCTCCTTCTCTTCTGCCCATACGTTGAGTCATTGTCATCAGCATCCAATAAGGGCAGTACACCAGAGTCAGACTCTGCCGCCTTATTCTGACCACCCGCCTTAATGTTTTGGCTCCTCCTTCCGTACCTGAGAGTGATAACATCATCAGAAAAAAAAAAAGCTCAGTGTTGTTTTATTCATACATTAAA